TTTATGGTATATGTTTGAGAATAATCTGAATTATATAGAACCCTACCGACACAAAAGAAAGTAGTCGAATCATTGCCAATTGTTGCCATCAAATTTATATATAGAGTGAGATGGGATTTTCACATGTTCAAAAAGATCGTTCCTGTTATTATCTGCCATATCAATGGACTACAAACTATGCAAGAATTTATCAAAAGACATAATTCGGTTGCTGTAGAGGGAACCTTGCCACTTCAACTTCAAACGAATTGCCTTTCGGGTCAGCCAACCTACCCGAAACTGATAGACCACACCGTCACCTTTCTCTTGCATCTCCATGTTGTCTTTTGATTTACAAAACCTAGCTTCCTTTCTCTTGTTTCTCATCGTCGTTAGAACATCATATTTGTTGTAGATTCTCCACACCATCATCTTTTGTTGTTCATACTCCACTTTTATTGAATATTTGCCTACAGCCATAACCAAATTTATATAAGGTAATAATATTTTTAATGTTAATAATAAAGAAAATTGATTCAAAAATACCTTTGAGATGAGACCAATTGTATTTTTGACTTTCCTATCACACCTCTAAGAATACAAAAGCAACTATCAGATATTTATGCCAAAGAAGAAAGTGGCAAGAGCTTAAAGAAAGAAAGAAAGTGGCAAGAGCTTAAAGAAAGAAAGAAAGTTGCAAGAGCTTAGAGACTCGAGGCAACTAATGAAAGAGGTATATATATGGAAATGAGATGTAGTAGAATTGAATTGGACAAAGAGGTGCATGAGTTTTTTAGTAACAGATAGGGATCACGAATAAGCAGATAAAGATATATAAAAATTTACTCAAATATTATTGATTATTTTTGTAATTTATCTTTTTTAATTTCATATATTTTTTTGTGTCACGTCAATAATCGTTAGAAATCTAACGGTAATTAATTTTTAGTGATCATATTTTAACTAAATAAAAATAAAAGTAACACATATTATATTTTTTGAATTTCGTAAGAAAAATATACAAAATTTAAACGAAAATATAGTAATTTGTCTTTTTTTCTTTGAAACAAATGATCTCTCCATTCACTGGAACGCATGAGAAACCTCCATCAGCAGCTGTATTCATGCAGATCAAATTGCCAAAAATCAATTTATAATTTATATTTATTATTTTAAATAATAAATAATAATTAAATGTGTTGCTTTGCCAAAAAAAATAAAATAAAATTAAAGGGAGTAAGTTTTGTGGAAAGGACTATATGGTGGTATCCAAGGAATCTGACAAAGTCATCGGATTCACAATTAATGGTGGTCCCCCAGTCAACATCACTACTCCCCATGTGATCACTGTCGTCGTCAAAACGATCAAAATTTATCCTAAATCCCTCACATGCACCGCATTGATGGAACTCTCACCCGCACCCAACATTTTTCAGCTTTTCCAAGGGTTTTTTTTTTACCTTTTATTCAATAGTTCCCTCTCAGAGAACTCAATCTGGACCGTCGATACACCCTCCCCATCAAACCACATTCAACGGCCAGATAACAAAGTACGGCATTCCTTAAAAGGCAGTTTCCCTTCATTTCCTCAGGCTCTTCCAAACCGCCAAATCTAAAAGATCGAAGACTCAGAGGCAAATAACGAAGCCATGGAGAAGGAAAGAGAGCAGCAAGTTTACTTGGCAAGACTCGCCGAGCAAGCTGAAAGATATGACGGTAAATATTTTGGTGGAACTCTCTATTTATTCGTGAGTTTTTTTTTTATATATGTTTCATCCTTTATTTTTCTCTGATTTGATTGATAGACTTGTTTTGTATCGTTTTGTCTTTGTTACGTGGTTTCTTGCTTGATCTGTAGTTTGGAGAATAGTTGAGGCGTTAGTTCTGACTCGATGATAATATACTGAGAATAGGTGATGAAGTTCAGACTTGAGAGTGAAAATAAAGCAATTCTACTTTCTTCAGTTACAATTTAAAAGAAAAAAATGTAGCAGTAGATTAATACTAGCTTATCTATGCATAAAGAAGTCCGATTTGATAATGCAGTTGATAGTATTTTCTACTAATTGAAGTTTTAAAAAAAACTATTGTTAAATGAAATGATTGATTTTTAATTTCATGCGAAATTATTATGTTTGAATTGTTTTTATTTTCTAAATTGTGCACTTTAACAACTTTTGAAGAAACAAAAGGCAAATTAGCATACACACATATTTATATAAACATTTTCCGGGAAGAGATGTTGAAGCATTACTTTTTTATAAAGAAAAAAAAATCTGTGGTTCTCCTTTTCTAATTTGTTGGAACTTCAGCGCATTTGGAATCTTTTTGAATTGTAAAACATCTTACTATTTCAGAGATGGTTGAGGCAATGAAGAGTGTTGCTAGGTTGGATGTTGAGCTAACTGTGGAGGAGAGGAATCTATTATCTGTGGGATATAAGAATGTGATTGGAGCAAGAAGAGCATCTTGGCGGATACTTTCTTCAATTGAACAGAAGGAGGAAGCCAAGGGTAATGAACAAAATGTGAAGAGGATAAAGGAGTACAGACAGAGGGTTGAAGATGAGCTTGCAAAGATATGCAATGATATACTCGCTGTCATTGATAAGCACCTCATTCCATCTTCCTCAACAGGGGAATCAACTGTTTTCTACTATAAGATGTGAGGATCATCTTAATTGCCTTTATGTTTTATTGGAGGTGCAAGTGTGAATATATCCTTATTTGTTGGCTTTTCTTTAACAGGAAAGGAGATTATTTTCGTTATTTGGCAGAATTTAAGGCAGGAGATGATCGTAAAGAAGCTGCTGATCGGTCACTTAAGGCTTATGAGGTGTGTAAAATTCCCCCCACCCCCCACCCCCTAAAAAAGAACTTGTTCCAGAAGTTGGGCAGTATTTATTGTTATTTATATTGTAGGCTGCCACCACCACTGCAAGCTCAGACTTGCCTCCAACTCACCCAATTAGACTTGGTTTGGCTTTGAACTTCTCCGTTTTCTACTATGAGATATTAAATTCTCCCAAGAGGTTAGAAATTATAATGCGTCTCTCTCTCTCATAAATGCACACCGACAAGTAGTTTACTTGAAATTTGTTTTCATTTGGGAGAATGATAGCAATGCTAATATTTCCTTTCATTTTGTGGTAGTTTCAGAAATAATTTCCTTGGTTACTACCATTTTTTGTTTACTTATTTAGAAATTGTAGATGAAGCATGAAGCTATGATATGAGTTCCACTTTAGCAGCTAGCGTCATTCTAATGTGATACAATATCTGAGCAGGGCTTGTCATCTGGCTAAACAAGCATTTGACGAGGCTATTGCAGAGCTTGATAGCCTTAATGAAGAATCTTACAAGGATAGCACCCTTATTATGCAGCTTCTCAGGGACAATCTCACCTTATGGACGTCAGATCTGCCAGAGGAAGGAGGTAAATTCTTTGTGTGTGTGTGGTTAATAAGTGAATATATATATGAATGACAGCATTCTGATTGATAGAGTTTACTTATTGTCTGACTGGATTTATGTATTTATGGTTGGTTTCAAGGAACATGATCTACTAAAATACTAATCACCACCTTGATTATACTATCTATTTCTATTTGTCTCGCTTCTGATAATCTCCTTTCGCAAATTTTTTATTTGATATCCCAGGTGAGCAATCCAAAGCAGATGAACCTCAAGCAGAGGTAAGAAAATGCTAAATTTTGAGCAATTTTTTATGATCATTGATAAACTGCTTATTTCTATCTCTGGCATATTAGATGTCTATGGTGGAGCATATATTGATTGCTTTCTCCCCGTTTCTTTTATCCTTTTGACAAATAAACTTTTTTTCTTGTTCGGTATCTTGGCAGAGTTAATTGGATAAAAGAGTATTCTTTTAAGACTGGGCTTGCGAGGTAGGAAAGGGGCTTGCTGCTAGAGTGACCTGCTTTCAACTCATGGTAGTAGCACCAGGATTTGTGACCTATGGCATGGTTGGTTTGTTCATCAGATGTTTTTAGACTACTGTTATTCTGTGGCCTCTTTAAAAACATAACTGAATCTGTTATGTTAGTCTTGACCTATTTTCTTGTTTTCAATTTTTTTGTTGTCTTAGCATGTTTTCCTTCTATTTCCGAATGCACTACACTTTCTCATTCTTCAGTTTAGTACTTGAATTTGATCATAAACATAAATGTCCAATTCGTTTGAGAATTTTTCTGAACCAGGGGATTGAGCAGCAGGGTCTTGTTTTGTGCATAAACTTTTGCAAAATTAATGGCATGGGTCATTGTTTAGTCTCAGACATCCTGGCATTAATACACTTTGTAGGTTATAAAATCCTGGGCCCTTTTTTTATTGAACCTAATTGTGAATTGGAAAGTGTAATCATTAAGTTACCCAAAAAATAGAGAGGAAGATGTAGCCATTAAGATAATTCTCCCTAAAGAGATCAGACAGTTTTTGATTAGTTGTAGCTATATTTGGTCTCGAGTAATCCGGTGTCCTATGGCCATTAAATTGTTTGCAAATGGTGAGAGATTGATACCCATACGGAAGACGGAGAATGAAATCCAATTGTGTTGTTGAATTTTACTGAAGAATCATTTCCTGGTAAGAATAAATATAACCATCCGATGCTCAGAAGAAAAATGCAAGGGAAACATCAAACAGGGACTATCCCTTGAAATGGCTTATTAGATTCTGCGTCTGTGTTTACTTTCATTTTTCTGATGGGCGTAAAAAGGGGGAATATCATGCATAAAACCTCGGTGGTCTCTCCTCAGTGCCAAGATTGTATATTCCATGCTCCGTTGCAAGATAAAATATGGTTTACATTGCTGCGACTTGGAATGGGAGATAGGGTCGATGGAGGAGGCTGCAAATGAACCAGAAATTATTTCAAATGTCTGTAATACTCATATGCCCCGCGTCCTTGATGGCAACAAGTTAGCATTATCCCCCAGATGCCTACATTATTTCAAACAATTCCTCGATCAGCGGAAAGCCGGAAGGAAAACCTTTTTTAAGTAATTTGATTTCCAAAACTTTGAAAAAAAAATATGCTAACCTTTTTAACCTGTGACCCAGTTCAAATGTGAATATTTGATCATGTTCTCCCCATAATATTAACGTGGGCTGAAAAATTGTAGGATTGTAAATTAAAGCAATTCTTTTTAGAAAAGTATCAAATGTTTATGGATAAATAAAGAACCGTTTCGAATTCAGACGAACCTGAGAGATTTTGGAATATTTGAAAATTTCCGATCTGTGGTTCGGAATCAGCTCTTTCTTGTCTTCAGTATACTCACCTGCCAGTATGTATGCCCATTACATCAAATGACAGAGAGAAAAAGACAACTCCAAACGAAATGCCTTGAGACACCGGATTAGCTATTAACAAGATGAGAACTCTGTGCTCTTTCGTCAAAGAAATCAGCTAGCAAACAAGAAGGCATCAAAGATATTCTAACCAGTATTCTAAAATTCTCTTTCAATGATATGGTATAGTCAATGCTCAACTTTAATGATGTGACGGCGTCATAACATTGTGAAATCAATGTGTTCCATCAATTCAAGAAGCATAAAATTCTACTATAGTAAATCAACAAATAATGTCACCACAGTTTTAGATCCACGGTTCATAATTAATTTTATGAAATTTCTACAGATTCATTAATTAAGGTAATATAAGTAGAACGTATGATTCATGTACGAGGCAAACAAATCCCGCCATTACCTTGCTATATATAAAAGTTTATAGAGCTTAGAACTTCCAATTGGTAGATGAGGGAGAATGAAATATTGGTTAGATCATCTTGTTCATTTATTACATAATCTAGAATTATGATTCACTTTCCAGCTAACTAAATCACGTCATATATTCCCGACTTGTTCGACACATTTTTCCTTTTTCTAAATTCCTTTAGTCTACAAAAGGGTGTTTTAAACTGTGGTCTGCAATCCTTTATTCTTTTTTATTAGTATTCTGCAGTTGCCCTTGATTTGATGTCTCCGTTCGGCAAGGGGGTCCAGTGCAGGGAGAAAGTGACTTAAGGTGGCAAGGAGAAGAAGGCATATTAAAATTCAGATTATTTTTGTATTAGGTAATGTTGGGTCTGGAGATGGAGTTTGGTACAGACCATACGGTTTCCGGTCACTTTTTGCTGCACAATTTAAGAATCCTGTGTGTTAAGTCGGATCTAAAAGTATTTTTGAGATAGACACACATATAAATAATATAATTTTTTTTATGAGATTGACTCAATAAAATTTTAAGATGGATACAATCAATAAAATAACTGAAGAAAATTTAAATTTTAAGATAAATACATACACATCTTATAAAATACATCGATCCACGATTCAACTTTCTATCAAAATCATTTTATCAGAAATAAGGGGAAATGCAGCGAAAGTGATACATAACAGGCCTACCAAAAACCCCCAAGTCATTGATATGGAAAAATCGACACTCAACAACATGTGCTATACCAAAACAGATTTAAGAACATGTTGACCGATTGATTGTTTTGGAATCTTAATTTCACCGAAGTTGTTAGGAGAGTAACTTTTTCCTTGCTTTCAATTTTTTTCCTAAAAATATTAGGATAATATATCATTAATCGCTGAATTTTAAAAGCATTTTCAAATTAATCGCTAAATTATAAAAAATAATTTTACTAATAAAAATTTTAAATTATTTTTTTATCATTGAACCTATTGACAGTTAGATAATTTGATACTTTTGTATTTATATGATGTGGAAGTCAAAATATATTTTTTATTTATTTTTTAGATCATTTTTTTATCTTATCGTTTTCTTCATTGATTTTATGATTTTTCTTGATTTTAAGTGTCTCTCGAAACTATCACTCTATAATTTCTTTTACGATCACCTTAAATATCATTGAACTCATTCTCTATTTACTTTGTTGATTTAGATTTTTCATAAAAAAATAAAATTAAATACAAAAAATTTACTATTTTGAGGAGATTTGGGATATCTGTTAAAAAATTCTAACTACCATGAACACCCCTATTTGAAAGTACAAATTTTGCCAATAATATTAACTTCTAAAACTCAATCTACTTAAAATGAATACGATGTTAGAGAAAAGAAAACGAAAACAATCCTACATATTCACGATATTCTTGCATATTTTGAAACATGAAATGACAGGTAAGAGTCCAAAAATCAATTTTAAAATAAAAAAAGAAAGTGTCAACCTTTTTGCTTGATACATATTTATATAAAATGAAACCATTTAAAATGCCAGATATTAAAATATAGAAGGAGTAGGAAGCAAGCAGGCCGGCCTAAGAATCCATTAATCATAATGATGAAGATTGAAATTGAATCCATAGGAGCAAAGTAATGATTCGCAAACATAGAAATAACAGTATTTTCTTCCTTGATCTTCTGTCTCAATTTTAACTTTTTCCATTTGTCCAAATTTTATGAATCAGCCTTTCCTTAGTGATAGGGAGCAACTAGAATTCTGAGTTAACTATGATTTGCCGACTTAGAATTTGGTTTCTGTGTTCCTAGTAAACTATCACACAAGAAATAATAAAAAAAAAATGTTTGGCTTTCACTGTCTCTCGGGAAGTGGCCTTATTTGAAAAGTTAAAAAAAGTTGAAGTCTTTGATAACATCAAATGATTCCTGAAAGCTTGAATCGGTCTGGTTTTTTTAAAAAAAAAAATCAACCCAGATTGATTCTGGTGCAATGAAGCCAAAATATCGAATCCATAACAAATTAATCAAGTGTCCGATATAAAGGATACTTGCAGCCAGGTTCTGTAACTGCAGTTTGCTCTATAGTTTCTCAGAGCTACAATGGCGAACATGTCTTCTATTTCCGAAGATTTCTCCTCTAAACTTTCGCCTGTGAAACACTCCATAGAAGAGGCGTCCCCTAAGCCTCCACTGCCAACAAAACACTCTTCAATGGAAGTAGCAAAAGGTATACATCCACGAGAACTTTGCATGAACAAGGACATTCTTCCATCAACCATGCAGAAGGTAGAAGTTGATGTGCCTGTTTCTTGTCTGCCACGTATTTTCATCATGATACATAACAATATAATTGATTTCTTCTGCTAAATTAAACTGTGTAAACAGGCTGTTGCGGAGATTGTTGGCACATACTTTCTTATCTTTATAGGCTGTGCGTCGGCTCTCGTAAACAAAATCCAACCACTGACTATAGTGGGCATAGCATTAGTATGGGGCATGGTTCTGATGGCAGCGATATATGCTGTCGGCCATATCTCCGGTGCCCATTTCAACCCGGCTGTCACTCTAGCCTTGGCTGCCGGTCGCAAATTTGCATGGCAACTTGTAAGAAATCTTTAGTTATGATACACTTGTATTGTTTTGCTGCAACATATTGCGTTCATGCACTGAAACTCGGCTTCCTTATCTGTCAAGGTACCTATATATGTGGTGTCTCAATTGCTAGGAGCAACTCTTGCTAGCTTGACCCTCAGGGCATTGTTTCATGCCCAACATAATATTGACGTAACAGTTACCCAATACAAAGATTCAACTAGTGATCTTGAAGCCATTGCATGGGAATTCATCGTCACTTTCATATTGATGTTCAACGTTTGCGCGATAGCTACCGATGACAGAGCAGTATGTTGATTCAAGTTATATCATAGTTATTTTCTTTCAATTCCTCATGAATCAACAATATTTTATCTAAAAATATTAATTACAGTTATTTTGAATCTTTGATGGAACAAAGCAGAGCAAAGGAGTAGCTGGAGCTGCAATAGGTGCTACAGTTCTGTTTAATGTCATTATAGCTGGGTAAGTAAACTTTTTTATGCTTCATGAACAATCTTTTGCATCGTACTTCCTCTCGTAAAGTTTTATGTACTCCATAAATTTGGCAGGCCTATTACCGGAGCTTCAATGAACCCTGCAAGAAGTGTAGGCCCTGCTGTTGTCGCCGGTGTTTACAAAAACCTTTGGGTGTATATTGTAGCTCCTATTCTGGGAGCAATGGCTGCAACTTTGGTGTACAGTATTCTTCGAGTACCTAAACCAGAAAAGCCTGAAGAGAGCGCCAAAAGCACGTACAATGATCTTTATGTAAACTCTGAAGTCTGATCCATAGGCATCCAACTCTCGTGGTCATGGATGGAGAGTTTATCACATGGGTTGTTTCCATCGACACCCCATACCAGCTTTAAGATACTTTCCCCTAAGAAGCTTTACTTGATTGATGCTTTTGTTACAAACAACTTCGAAAATTACGAAAAAAGTAGAAATAAAAAGCAGACATGTAACAAATATAAGGTAAAAGCAATTTAATAATAAGTGAATTTTTAGTATTTTCTAAATTTAGAGTTATTGTTAGGAAATAACAAATATTAAACAATCCCAAAATAATAAGAGAATAAAATAAAAACATATATTTATATGAAAAATCCTAAAATGAAAACAATTTACGAGATAAACAAGAGGTTGACGACGATATCTAAGGCTTAATCCATAGCCTTATTTATAGAGTTAATTAGATCACAAATAGTACGAATTCATGCTTTCAACCAAACACTGGTACAATAAGTACAATCGTATAAATACAGAATTCGTATTAAACTCTGCCTATCATGTGCTAAGAGAATGGAAAACCAAATGAATAGCACAAAAAATATGAATTACGATACAATTATTTCTTAAAATCAGTTTAGAGTAAATCCATAAACATTGTTTTATTTGAGGAATACACAAGTCTAAATTCCAGCCAGGACTGTTCACTATCTTATAAAGGGAACAATACCATACAACAGGATTATGTAATATGGTACAGCATGGAAGAAATATTGTACGTAGACCAGCGGCGTATCAATATTAAGTTTCATACACAGAATGTCAACTGCTGATCAAGTTAGAACGGCGATAACATATTTGGTGGATGAAGCCATGTTATCACCTCATCAGCCCACAAGATTAGCCATTCTAGCATTCTCGCCTACAAGATTCCGGTCTTCGGAAGTGTTTATCTTTCACCTATAAAAAGGATCGATATGAGTCAAATTTCAGTGATGGTTATGCTTCAATAATGTTTATGTTCCACTAAATGTTCAATTGGATAAATCTCAAGTATTTTAGAAATACAAGTCCTAGACAGAAGTTTAATGTGCAAAACTGTGCTAATTAGTAAGAAAAGTTTTCAAATGAAGCATCTTCATTTATTCAGTCATTAGGCAGAAGGAGCTCGGGTCCCAATTTCTTTACAACACTAATCATGTGTATTGGCTTTTTTAGCACAACCATGTGCAGAAAATAATGAAGGAAAATACTATACAATAGTTGGAAACTGAATCAAATGTTCATACCCGGTTTGGGATAAACGTCTCCAATTTAGTATTTGGTGGGACTGTGGATGCCTCGGTAAATAAGATGAGCTCGTACCGATACCGTTTTCATCACCAATGAACTGATCTGAGTAACTAGAAACTGGAGGAGACCAAACCGGAACAACTCCTCCATCCCTTTCTCTCCTACTGCTGCTAGTAGATGAATCTACTGTGGAATCCTCAGCATTCCCCACCCCCATTGGGAGATTAAATTGCAGAGAAGTGTTGTTGTTCTGAACCGCCTGCTGAATTCCTTGGTTTAATGTGCCTCTTTGGGGGTCTTGATGCACATTAACGTTTCTTGGAACTTCTGCTCTTCTATCTTCATCTGAAGTTCTAAGATCCGAAGAAGTTTCATAATGTACACCTCTCACCAAAGAAGAAGTCATACTAGGAACCATCTGATCTTCATATCGATGAGTTGTAGCTGGAGCATTGTTCCTAGCAGGTTCAACGTTTTCATCCATTTGTATGTCTTGAGGGAAGGCAAATGGCACGGATTCAGTAGAGTCTCCAAGACCTTCCTCAGTTCCATTCTCAATTGCCGCTCTTGAAGCTGCTTCTAGCTGCCACATCACCGAAAGCGCTTCTTGCAACCTGTCTTTTGCAGCATCTATTCCTACAATTGGGAGAGGATAATTTGATCCGAGCTCGATTCCAGCAGCTTGGAGTACAGATTCAGGAGCATTCCATGGATGGTGAATCCAATCTGTTGGCAGTCTTGCAAGTTCAGGAAGCCATCTTCGAACATATTCTCCATGTGGGTCAAATTTGTAACCCTCAAACTGTCAAAAATTTTAACTGGATAAGAGAACTGGCTCTATATTTCATCCAAGGAATTTGGATAGATAACAATCCATGTAATAGATTTCAAACATGCTTGCATCATATGGCTGATGGATTTATTATGCTTTTGGTAAACAAATACCATATTGAAACTGGATAAGAGGGACTAAAGTAGATTAAAAAATGGCTGCAATGAAAGCTTCCATTTCCTTCTGCAACGTTTAGAAATTTATGCATGCGTATACTTGAGGTTTTAAAAAAAAATAGTGTTATTATGTGTTGCTTCAATAGCCAGAAACTATGAGGTTTAGATGGAGGGGTCAAATACACTAACTAAAAAGATCTCGACAACAACCTTTTCTACAATATGAAAACCAATAACATGTAGTTTGATAAACTTTACTGGTAATGGAATTACTTTTTACAAATACAAGTTCATGATGAGATAAGCATGTCAACCTAAATATGGAATGAGGTTAGAAAATGGAAAAAAATAGTTATATCAATATAATTAGTTTATATTTGTAGGTATGTTAGGATGCATCAGAAGCCAAATAGCAATGACAATCTGCAACACAGCTAACAAGAATTTCAGCCAAACCTGTGGATTATCTATGCGGTCGAACTCACGACCATCTGGAAGAGTACCAGATATATACTGCCAACCAAGAGCATCACTCTCTAAATCTGCATCTAAAAGGGTGTCCCAAAAATACTTCATACCCCATCTCCACGGAAGCTGCAGAACCTTTACAAAGAAACTAGAAACTACAACTCTTATCCGGTCATGTAGCCAGCCAGTGGCCCACAACTCTCTCATTCCAGCATCCACCAATGGATAACCGGTTCTACCTTGTCTCCATGCCTTAAAATAGCCCTCATCCACTACCCAAGGGAAAAACTTAAGATGCCCAAGAAGAGGCCTTTCATGGCTGTAAGGATGGTTAAAGCTCAAGTATCTCGAATATTCCCTTAGACCAATCGACTCGAGAAACAAGTTAACACTCTCCTCGCCAGCTTTGTTTGCTTCATTGGCCCATAGAACTTGCTTGATGCGGACAAGATGGAAGACTTTTCTCACACTCACCTCCCCAAAGTGCAAGTGGGGAGAGAGAAATGAGGTGGTGGCACTATCAGCCTTTCTTCTATTCTTAGAGTAATCAAGCAGAGGTCCATTGATGAATGTGGTCAAAGCCTTATCAGCATTGCTCCAACCAGGTGACCATGCTCGAGCTAAAAGCGCATTACTTCCCTTCTCTAATTCATCTTCAAACACCAACTGATCCGAATGGCAAGATTTCACACCACCTAAAACAGAGAGAGACAATAAATATGTACTACTTGAACAAGGGCAATATGGAGTTTCACTGTAATTTCAGGTCAATAAATAAAAAAGCTAAAAGGCTTCAAAGAGGGACAATGATTGATAATGGAGAGTAGTAAGTCAAGAACATAATCGAATGGGCACCAACCTGAAATGATTCTCTTAGGAGGAAGAAGTGGAGCCTCAGGATCATAGGGCATGCTAAGGCATCTTTCCCAGAAAGCGGCAAATGTAGTGAAAGGGCGTCCTTGAGCATCATTTACATCCCAGGGTTCATAAAGTAAATCTGCATTGAAAGATCGAACTGCTACACCATGGGCTGTTAATACCTCCTTTGCTCGATGATCCCTAACCAGTGATATAGGATCTGAAAAAGTAGTAAATTTCCACTTAAATGTTAAACATAGACTTCTTTTATGCTTTCCTAATCCCCTATCATGGAAGAATACAGAACCTGATTAAACAAATCTTTTTGATCGTTTAAAGATGTTAATACTCAAGATACTGGTTTGAAAGAAACTGTGATCATTATTGCTGGAACCGGTCAATGTTATTAGTGTCAACAAAATTAAATGACAGTTAATATGCACACTCAAGGAAGACAATTTAGCATTCCTGGCAAAAACAAAATTGCAACTGGAGAGCAGTCAATCACTCAATCAAGAGGAGCCTAGTGAATGACAAGAATCAATATCGATTGACGAAAATCTCTTAAGACTCCGTTATTATATTAGAAACAGATTAAAATAGGCAACACCCCATAAGGAAGTTTAAGAGAGAAGGATAAAAGGAAATAAAATAATAGATAATCCCCATGCAGAACCCAACAATAAAAAATACATAAAATTTTAGACATTTATACACAGCAAACAGTATCAGACAAGCAAAATAAGATTAAAAAATTAGTCTCTCTTTTCTTTTTTCTCAGTCCAAGAAAGAGGGAGGATAGGAAAAGAAAAGAAAAGAAAAGAAAAGAAAACTAACCATACAAGTGATTGAAGAAGAGCTGAGTAGCACCAGTAGATTTAACAACCTCAAGAAGAGAAGAAACACTATCAGAAGACCTCTTTGTGACGAGACAAGTGCCGAGGCTCCTCAAAGAAGAGTCAAGGTGAGCCAAACTGTGCTTAAGCCACCATCTTGACACCCTTCCAGGTTGATAATGGCCTTCTTCTTCAGGTGCCCATACAAACACTGCAACAACAGCACCAGCTCTAACACCAGCTGCAAGTGCCGGATTATCTTCAACCCTGAGATCCCTCCTGAACCAAACTATGCTACAACCACCACCTGACATATCTACCCAAAGCTCATCAAAACTAAAACTTGCAAGAACAAAACCCACCTTTTATATTCCTCAACTATATCTATATACCATAGCCCGAAGAATCCTTCTTGTCTCATTAAAAATCTTATCTTTCCAGCTTTCGCCAAAAGAGGGAGCTTTTTAGTTTTATTATTATTAGTAATTGGAGGAAAAAATTGCATGCGACTGACTACAAGTGGGAGAGAAAGCTTTGGCACTTATCTTTTACTTCTAGTGGCCAATTTTATCAAGTACTTTATTTATGTTTTTTCTCTCCTTGGTTATGGGATTAATTCGTAAATTTGTATATAATACTCTAACAGTACCAATCTGGTCGGACCAGTTGCAATCAAAAGGTGTTGGTTTGAGAGAGAGGAATTTGGAGTGTGAGCGAAGAGGATTGGTTAATGGGTAGAGTGGGGATACAACAAAAATGATAGACGATTTGT